TTTCCCTTCCTTCCTTCCTTCCTTCCTCCCTCCCTCCTTCCCTCCTTTCTTCCTTCCTTCCTTCCTTCCTTCCTTCCTCTTTCTCTCTCTCTCTCTTCCTCTCCTCTCCTCTCCTCTCCTCCCTTTTCCTCTCTCTCTTTCTCTCCTCCTCTCCTCCCTCATTCCTTCTTTTTTTTTCCTAGTCAGGAGGGACCGGTTTCTAGAGAAATATATTGTGTTTGATAAAGAAGTGGGTCAGCAATAAAGAGAAAGACACTCGATAGGATGGATTGGCAATGTGGAAGCAACAATGTGTTGAAACCCTGCAGAGATTGTGGGAATGACACAGGATTGGGCAGTTTGCTTCTGCTGTGCATAGAATCATTATTAGTTGGAGTAGACTCAATGGGATCTAACAACAAATGACACATAAGCATTACTGAAGGCATGGGGGGCGGTGAGACCACCACAAATAAACCCCAAAAGAACCATGAGATGAAGTCTCGCTATTTTTGCTTCTAAAGAACAATCTGGGTGTACTTATTCCAAAACAGATTTGTTCTTTTGAAAGTCCATAGTATACAATATTCTCTCCCCAATGCCACCACAATTCAAGGATACTAATTTTTCTTTGGTCTTATTTTTTCACTGTCTCACTTTCATATGCACATGAGGCGAATTCAAATACCATGACTCAAGTCAGAGACATTTTTTTCTCTTCAAAATGGCATACTTGCTATTTAGCATCTTTTCCAGTAGTTTTGTCTTATGTAACACATCTCGCTTGGTTTCTTAACCAGGGCTTTCCATGAGTTTTTATTGTGGAGCCAAACAAAATTAAACCTTTGACTACTTCAAAAATTTTTTTCTACTTTTTCACAAAGATGTTTACTGGCCCAGCTGTGAGAATTTTTTTGTCTTACACTGAAGTATAATCCACATGAAAGGCTGTATTGGTAAGTCTGATTAGTCTTTTATCTTTTTCATTTTTGCAAGCAAGGTTATGTCATCGGCATACTGCAAGTTGTTGACAAGTCTTCCTCCAATCCTGATGCCACACTTTTATTTATATGGTCCATCTTCTTGACTGACCTGCTCAGCATACAGACTGGCCAGGTATGGTAAAAGGATACAACCCTGATGTGCATCTTTCTTGAGTCTCTACATAAATATTTGATATCTTCTATTTCACTCCTCCAGACACTCTGTCTAAGCAGCCAACATCATAAATCCATATGAGACAATTCTGATTACTGATAGCAGTTTAAAGACTAAGGTTCACCTGTAAAAGCTCAAGGTTTGTCAATTACTTTCTATACATCCAGAAGTTGGACAATGAAAAAGGATGACAGAGGAAGAATTGAGGCTTTTGAGTTGTGATGTTGGAGAAGAATACTGAATATCTCATGGACTGCCGAAAGAACAAACAAGTATGTTTAAAATAAGTGCAGCCAGCGTGCATCTTATAGATGAGAATGATGTCGCTTCATCTCACATACTTTGGGAATGTTGTTAGGAATGGCGAGCCTTTGGAAAAGAACATCATGCTTGAAAAGGTGGAAGGTAAGTGCAGGAGAGGAAGCTCTTCAAAAAGATTAGCACAGTGACTGTAGCAATGGATTAGAGTATATAAGAGAAGATGAGGATGGAACAGATTAGGGCAAGGTTCAGGTTCATTGATTACTGGGTTGTTATGAGTCATATTTGACTTGATGACACCTAATGAGAATACCACCTACAACTAACCATCAATTATTACCAGTAAACATCTGGAAGCTGTAGCAAGTAAGTGGTATTCTCTTTTCAGGACAAGTAGCAACTGTCAGGAGGATTTTGACTTGTTAAATAAACTCTATTTGCTAAGGCTGAAGGAAAACAGAAAATTTAAAAAAAATTCATACTACTTGGGGGAAAAAATCCAATTATTGAGCATTATCTGAATCCATACCTGTGAGTGTACTCTTTGGGTAGAATAAAGGACAATTCACCTCCAGCATTGTTCTCCAGTGCAGCTGTTGGTACATGATAATGAAACAACTTGGAGATTTCGTCAACATCGCAGTGAGGTTCCTTTACCATGACTATGTGGTATCCCACACCTGAGAAAAGTAGTTAGACATTTAGAAGAAAAACTGTTTTGTACTGTCCATACTTATACACATAACTTTTTATGGTTTGGATTACAGTAGGAAGAAAACATGTCATGCTCTAGATTACTTGTTTACAATTTAAGAATCTGTAAAGTCTTCTTTATGCTGAGTGAAATATCTCAGTCACAAAAGGACAAATATTGCATAAGGCCACTGTTGTAAAACGGGACTGATATCAGGGTTGAGGGAAGACAGAAAAGAGGGGAGGAATGATGTATATTGATTGCATTGAAACAGATGAGGGAGAGAACTGTTTAAAAGGGATATATGAATGGGTATTCTTATCATTACAGAAGTCCAGGGTGAAGGCTCCACAGTGGAGTGGGCTTGGGAGGAAAGATTGCATAACAATGAAAGAGTTTTTCTTTTTCTTTTCAAGGAGAAGAGTGAATTGGGAGGAGGGGGTGGGCAGGGAGAAAAGTGCACAAGAATGTCTGGAAACCCTAAGTCTCTGTACACTTTCATTAAAATTCATTAAAAATTAATAATAACAAAGGGAAAAAAGAATATAGTCTTCTTTAATAATTATTTGAGTTATAAATCCAGATAAAGCAGAAAAGTCTCAGTTACTTGGCTTTCTGTCCTAATGACGGTGAAATTCGAGATGGTAAGACATATTCATTAAACAGGTATTTATTGGGGGGATTATAAATAAATTAGATAAATATTCCTTCCTCCAACCAGCTAAGACATTCTTCCAAGATCCTCTGTGCCTTTAACAAAATGCACCGCATTGTCCATCTAGAAATTATAAATGAGGTTGTATAACTCAGGAAAGACACTTTTCTGGCACTCCAGTTCCATGAGGAAGATACTGCACATGTCTCCTGAAAGCTTGTAACAAGGCAGAATTGTTGGGGAAGAGAGATTTTTTTAAGGCACCTCAGTCCTGTACAAAGTGCTGGCCAATGACCTTTCAAGGGCTTGGTTGGGAGAGAGAAGATGAACCTGGTTCTATATCAAAATTCCTTACCTGCAAAATGTGTATAAGCCACAAAAATGGTTATGCCTGTATCACATATGATTAAAATATCTCTCCATTTATTTCAAGTACTGATACATTCTACTTTCTAATGGACATTATCATCTTAAGAATAGGTTTGAACCATTGAACACCAATGACTGAAGACAAGACGGAACGATAGTTGATCCTCCAGCAGGTTTTCAGGGGCAGTAAATATCATAGGAGTTGATTGTCCAACTTTTTCTCCCAGGGCGGCTGGTGGATTTGAACTGAATATCTTTGTGTTGGCAGCACAATTTCTTACCACTAAGTCATCAGAACTGCCTCCACTTTTGTGTATATACCCTTAATTATCATGAGTAAATTCCCTTATATTCCTTTTTTGCTGAAGGGTTCCTACCCTGCCAGGAATGATTTATGAGATGGTTATTTTCTTTTGTTTCGTTCATGTGGCGGATTATGCTGATTGTTCTTCTAATATTGAGCCCTCCTCAAATACCTGATACCAATCCTACTTGGTCATAATATATTTTTAATATATTTCTTCAGTCTGTTGGCTATGATATTGGTGAGAATTTTTACATGTATGTTGCTGAAGGATATCGCTCTCTACTTTTCATATGTGTGTGTGATGTCTGTCTATACCTCAATTTAGTGTAAAGAGAATTGGTGTCATAGAATGAATCCAATAGTATTCCATCTTATTTCAATATCTAGGTTTACAAGTATTTTTAATATCTAGAATAATATTTAGAATTGATGTTAGCTCTTCTTGGAATATTTGTTAGGATTGATCAGTTTGATAGAATTCCATGGGCTAATCCCCCCCACCTCACTGGGAGATTTGTTTTTCTTTTTTATACGTAATGATTTGTAACTCTTCCTTTCTTTAATTATACTTTAGGTACAGAATCTATGATTTTTTTAAACTGTAGCCATTTTTACAATTT